GAAAGGATTATTTTTCAATAAGATATTGTGCTTCAAAAACTAAAACTAAAACTAAAATTATTATTTAAATAAAATCATATTTAGAAATCAATTTTTTTTTATCATGTCAGCATTAAATTTATGCTAATGCATTAAATTTTGGTAATTTTGAAAAGTTTATATCAAAAGAAGCCAGAAATTAATACCAAAAATTAAAAAATTATAATCCATTTTAACAGAAATGATAAAAAAAAGTTTAAATAACTTAATTATTAGTATGTTTGGCCGTCTATCATAAATAACTAATGCTAAATATAAAAATACTAAAATAAAAATTATATATTGAGTTTATATTTTTTCATTTTTAATTAAAAATTCAATTTTAAGATATTTTTTTTTCTTAGATTTACGAAAAGAAAAATTTTTCTTTCTATTTCTTTATTTTCCTTTATATTATAGAAATACATAAAACTTTCATTTTTTTATCTTATTCTTATAAAAAATATGAATGAGTTTATAATTATTAAATTTAGATTAGAAGAGTTTATAATTAATAAGCATTATATATATGATATATTTTTAAATTCAATTTTCTCAAAAACGAAGCTTTTTATCAAAACGATTCTTCATATCAAAGAATTTCTTTTTTCGATTTATTTACTTATAAAGAATTATCCTTTTTCTAGTATCACAAATAATATTCTGTATTACATTACGTAATCTCATAAATAATGTCATTTTAAAATCATTTTTCAATAAAAAAAAAATAATGAAATCTACATATTATATATTGATTTGTATTTTTACAGAGATTTTATTTTCACTTGAATAATTTAATATTAAAAGAATTATACTATTTTAATACATTTTTATTAATTTTCTTAATAAAAGAATATGATGGAGATAGAAATAATGTGACTAGTATTAATTAATTTCTTATAATATTATTATAGCAAAAAAAACTTTTTTCATCATTTAATTAATAACTGTTCATATAAAAGTTATCATATTATCTATATAATATTATTATATATTTTAATTTTCTATTATAAATAATTTTATTTGTTTATAATAAATGATTTTTATAATTGCTAGGTTTTAAAAACTTAAAAACTAGGTTTTTAAAATGACATTGATTATAAGATGATTTAATATTATAAAGATGATCATATAAATAAATTAATTATAATATAATTATAATAGATAAAAATATAAATAGATTAATGCTCAATAATAATAGAAACAATATAGAAGCAAGAATTCAAAAAATTAGACATAATTTTAAATTTCATTTATGTAAATAGAGTTCTTCATGATTTTTCTGTATTTATGATTTTTTATTCAAATAATCGAAGTTCAATATCGTGTTATATAATATATATATAATGTATATATATTTCACTGGATTTCATTAAAAAAAAAATTTATTATTTTTCTTAACATAAAATAAATATAAAATTTTAATTTTTTCTTTTAAAATAATATATATATATCTTTTAATTATTAATTTTGTATTCATCTTTCTTTTCTCTCTGATTTTTAAAAATTGACCTTTTAAAAATGTGTTACGAATTATATATATTAACATCGTATATATATAATTATATATATAAAATATCTCTAGAAAAAATAAAGAAAAATAGATTAAATATTTATAAATTATTTATAAATTAAATATTTTTAAAAAATTAAACAAAATTTTTTTTCTAGATTAAAAAGATCTTTTATGTATTTTCGTGCAATGAATCTGAATCTGTGTTAAATCTGAATTTAACAGTAAAAATTACCTATTATGTTAGATTTAAGATAGATAAGATAGATAATAAATATTCACTATTAAAATTTCCTATTATTATTAATCATATTTAGAAAATAAATAAATATTATTTATACAAATAATTAATTTTTTGTTATATTTATGAAAATATTCTAAAACAATTTTTTTTCAATATTTTTTTTTAATATTTTCAATACCATATTATAATACTAATGTTTTATAAAGTTTATTATCATAAATTTATTATCGTATCCTGTTTTACTGAGATATTATTTTAAATTTATTTTATTTTTAATTTACTGACAACAGAATGAGAATTTATAAAAATTTGGGTTTAAATAAAACTCTAATAAAAAAAGACATGGTTTTTCATTGGTATCATGGTAAAATATTTTTCAATAAATTTTTATTCATAATTTTTATTATCAAATGATAGAATAACTTCAAATTTATCTTGGCAAAAAAATATTTTATAATTAAGGAAGAAGGATATATTATGCCATGTTGTTAACAAAAATATTGAAAAAATTTTTTTTTGAAATATTTTCATAAATATACCAAGTAGTTATTAAAGTATTTATTATCTCTTAAATCTAACATAATAGGTAATTTTTACTGTTAAATGCAGATTTAACACACATAAATATATAAGAAATCTTTCAGTTTTTAAACAAAAAAATACTCATTGATCTATTTTTTATAGTGTTTTATCATTTTCTACAATAATTCCATCATTTTCTACAATAATAGTTCAAATTTATAAAAAAAAATATGAATTATGCTTAATATTATTAGCAAGGAATAATCTTTAGATACAAAATTTGATGATGCATTAATTTTAAGAAACATTAAAAAAATAAAATTATAGAATATCTTATCATATAGATTCATCTAAATTATATAATGTAGTTTAAATAAATAACATTTTATAGATTAATAATCAAATGAATTATTATTGCAATTGTTTTACTTATTTATTTATTTTTAAAAAGTTTTATTTATTTAATAAGTTTTATTTATTTTTAAATATTATGATTTTTATTATATTTTATTATTAATATACTATATTATAAGCAAAAATATTTATAATTTTTCTATTAATTAAAGAATAAAATATATGTATATATTTTTATAAGTTTAAAGATAAATTCTAAACGTTATAATAGGAAGTGTAACCAAATAAAATAATATATAAAAAAATTAAAATTGATTCACGTAATTTATTTTTTACTAGTTTTCTTAATCATAGATATAATATATATAATATATAAGATATAAAATATATATAATTCATTAAAAAAAAAATAGTTTATCTCTTTTAAAATTACTTTATCTGATTCATTTTCGAATTATTTAACATGTTAACTTAGATGGACACAATGATGCCGAAATTATGCGATTGTTTTTAAAAATTTTGTAATAATTATAACAAACCAGAGATTATGATTTTGAATTAAAAACTTGAAAACTGAAAATTGATTAAATAAAAATATAAACTTACTGAATAAAAATGATTAATTTTTTTAGAATTACTGTATCTTATCCATTTTCGGATTATTTAATATATTAGGTTAGATAGACACAAACTATAACGACACACTATTGCAATTTATTATACTTTTATAAATATATTTCGTAATAATCATATTAAATGTTAAATTAGAAATTATGATTTTAAATTGAAAACACAAAAAATGAAAACTGATTTTAATGAAAATATAAACTTATACAATTGAAACACATCAGATCGTAATAATACTGCGTTATTTATGTACAGTATCTAATCTATTGCGTTCTGCCTTTGTTTTCATTTTAGTAGCATATAAGTGATGCAATTTAGCACTAATTCAAGTAAATAGATGCTTGACTAGAATTCGCTTATTTAAGCTTTGACAAAAATTTTCCTCAAAATTGCTAGAAATGATAAATAATAATATTAGTTTAAGAAAAATAAATTTTATAAATGGATCAGCTATATAATATATCTAACAGATATTTTAGAAATATCTGTTTGATATTATTATACTAACTTATTATATTGACTTAGTTCATTTTGAAATAGAGTAGCATTACATAGATAAAAATTTATTTCATTCTATAATATTGATATAAATATTATACTTTTATGAATATTTCATCTTTCTAATATGAATTTGATATATAAATATCTTATATATTATCATTGTGAAATATATTAAATATTATATATTTTTTTTTATAAATCTATGATTAAGTTATTATTTTATTAAGTTTTTCTAAAGTATATGAAACCCAGAATTTATCTATAATTTTATAAATAATCATATATCTATATATTTATGTATATCTTTTAAATATTATTTGATTTTTCTTCTAAAATTTAATATAAAATTTAATTGATATATTATTATTTTATTATTAAAAAGTTTATAATTTGTATCTAGAGTACTCATTGGATAAAATTTGTTTTATAGAATATAAAATGTTTTATAGAATAGCAAAAAAATTATAATACAAAAAAAATACAAAATTAAAAGAAACAAAAAAGAAGATTATAATATGTAAAGAAAATATTAAATAGACTGTTATGATTGCATGATATACAATAATTGAAAATAATTATTAGAAGAGCTTAAATTATAAGATAAAAAGTTATAAAGTTATATAAATACAAAATATTTTCTTCGTAACATAATTCAAGTAACTCATAATATATAAGTAAGTCAATTGAACCAATATGATAATTTTTTAAACATTTATTTTTAAGAAGAGTACATTTATTGCTATAATTATAAATTTATTTACTATCAAAATTTATCATCACAATTATTATTTCAAATATATTATTATACCATCAAACAAAAATCTTCAAGCACAAATAATTATCTCTAGTTCATTTCTCCCACAATTATACTACATAATATTCAGCATGATAATAAAAATTCAGCTAGATTTAATAGATGAAATAGATTATAGATGAAAATTTGGTTTTAGCAAATTGAGTTCGGATAAAATGGATTTCTACCATACCTGGCTATCAAGGACATCGTTATAGGAAATATTGACATGTTTTGTCCGCCAACTAAATATTCTCGTACCGCGTCTTCGTTTTTTCGGGATTTGTACGCTTGGTATACACCGACCACGGCCGAAATCGCGAGCATACCAGCAAACACAGCACAATCGATTATCCCGAACGACTTGTGCATCGAACCGTCCGCGTCGTCGCTTCCGTCCATGGTCTCCAGGATCTCGATCTCAGATTCTAATCGATTGTTTTTGCGATCGAGACGAGACAAGATGCAGAGGAGAATGGAATCGCGGCCGTCTCGTTCGAAAAACGGTTCGTTTCTAAGTCGACAAGTAACAGATGAGAAGCAGAGAACGGTTTAAACGGGCCAGCTCGGAGAGACGATTGAATAATTGGAGATTCCATCGTTATCGTTCCCACTCCGCTTCCTCCGTTACTTCTGTTAACTTCCTCTGGTCTTCCTCTTCCTCGTCCTCGTCCTCGCGCTACCAGTTCGAGCTTGAGCTGCCGTTGAACTGCAACCACGACGTCCTTGCGTCGTGAGTCGTGGCGAATCGTCTCGACCATCGAAGGCGAAGAGGAAGCTGATGGACAATGAGATGCGATGGCCACATGGTAAAAATTTATTTTCGATTAAATGCTGAAACGAAATGAAAAATTGTGTCATATTTCTTTAATAAAACATAATTTTCATAAGTATTAGCAAAAAGTGTGTAAGTCTTGCATAATCATCTGTTTTATAAATGAATAAATTTAGCAAACTTTCAGTGATTTCCTATATTAATTATTATAATAAAAAAAATTCATAGAGAATCGTAGATATGATTATATTAATATCTATTGAATAAAATCTCTGAATTATTATTGATTGGCAGCTTCTTTTATTTCATATTTCTTTCTTCTAATTATCTTAAATATAAATATAAGGCTCGTAAAATAATATTAAATTAATGATCTAAATGTGATAAATAAATGAAAGAATAAAATAATTATTTAATTTGTGATTTTCTTACTGATTTCAATGATCCTGGAATTGTTGTTAATTATTATTTTAACCGACGATTTCCTATAAATGTTATTCTAAATAATTATCAAAAATAATTAAAATTTTTATATATAACGAAAAAGAATGGAGTGAAAGAATAAAATGAAAATAAATGTATATATCTTTTTTGAAATACAGAAATTAAGAAAATTTTAAAAACCTAGAATAATTTCTTATAATTAACAAAGTATAATATTTTTTAAGTATATAAATAATAAGAAAATAATATAAATATATTGTTTTTCATACATTTAATTATTTCAAATATTAAAAATTTTTTAAAATTAATGTTTCCTCAGTTAAATTGGCCAATTGAAATCACTGTTCATCGATGCGAAATATTATCACATTGAAATCTAGAATTAATATTATTTTTATTAATTAATTTCCAAACTCTTTGCGGACAAATGTTCCTACAATAGCATCAAAGTTAAATAAAATTAAATTAAATTACATTTTAATGTAATATAAAGTATCTCAGATTTAAGTTGTTAAATTTTAATAAATATATTCTTTGGATCTAAATAAATAAAAAATATTATATTAAAGATATAAAAGAGTTATAAAAAAAGTTATAAAAAAGTTATAAACAAAAATACAGAATACAAAATGGTTAAATTTTTTTCCTCAAAGCTAAATAAATTGATTGAAAAAGATTAATATTATAATTTCTGAAATCATTCGACTTTATTATTTTATTAATTCAATTTATTTTTATCCGTTAAGAATTTTAAAGAAAAAATTTTATGAAACAAAAATAAATATAATGAACCGATAGAATTAATGATTCCATTTTGAAGTTGTCAATATAACTAAGGATATAAAGTGGCAATTTTGAAATATTAATTAAATTACTGTGCATATAATAAATACTATATAATTATGTATGTATATTATTATTAATTGCAATTATATATTTAATATTAAAATATTTAATATTAAAATTAGTATTAATAATAATAAATAAAAGTTAGTATTTATAGGTAAATATTGCCATTTTCTTTGAATTTTGTATTTTTGTTTATAACTTTTTAATAAAGTATTAAACATTAAACATGTAATAATCTCTTTTTTTTTACTTATTTATATTATATATATCCATAGAATATATTGATAAAATTTGACATTTAAAGGCATGACCTGAAGCATTCTATATATATAATATATAATATATTCTATATATATAATATATGTAACATTCAATTATTAATAATACATATTTTTTTTTTATTCTTAATATTTAAATATTTGATTTATAATCTAATAATGTGATTTCACACAATAGAAAATATTATCATACAATATTAAGAATCAAAATCGAAAAAGTAATCATTCATAAAAATATAATGTTATCATTATATAAATATCATTATATATAAAATATATTCATTTAATTAAAAAATAATATTGTTTCACTCTTCAGAGAGAGATGCATTTAACAAAATTGCTCTCCACTTGTTTACGTGAGATTCGTTTACCTTTTTTCGCATATCGCTGTTTTCACGATCGATTTCCGCTTTTCCGGTAACTCGGTTTCTCGAATGCTCTTCAGAGAACATCATAATCGGCCACACCCTTTCTCAAAGGAGACAAAACTAGACTAAAAGGGCGCCTCGTAGTTTCGTCCTTTCAAATCGAGCACTGACTGTGAACATCTTAACTGGATTGATTGAATATTTTCTTCGTTAACAAAATTCGGTGTGAAGAGAAGAAGAAATTTTCGCGATTGATGATGTCGATTAGAATTGTGATTCAGGTGATGTTGATTACGAGTTTGTTCGAGTTTATCTTGTCTATTGAACCAAATATCGAGAATACTCGTATTCTGTATGCGAATGTGACTGGTGATTTGATGCTTGGTGGTCTGTTTCCTGTTCATCGAAAGGGTAATAATAGCGAGAACTGTGGTGGGATTCAGGTGAATAATAATTTCTTTTAAAAAAAAAAAATTTTCGATAATTTTTGCAGAAGTTAAATAGTTATCAAAATTTATGAGAAAGTACAGAAACTTTAAATTGATAATTTTAAAATTTATATTAATATAAAATTTATGATATTAAAAATAAAGAATAATAATTTTTTTTAAAAATACAAATTTTGATAGCTGATAATTTTGATTAATTTTTAAATAGAAATTTTAATTTTTGTATAGAAAATTTAAATTGATAGAAGATTTACACTAATACTTAACTAAAATAAAATAAAAGATAGTATAATAATATTTAATTAATTCATTAACATTCAAGATATGTTTTTAAAATTTTTAGAACAAAGCATTAAATAAAATAGCGTTAAATAAAATCATCTTATATACTGTTAATATGTAATACATAATTAGAGATAAGAAAACATGCGATTAAAAAAAAATTTTATTTTTATTTTTTAAAACATATAAGAATGAATATAAATAACTAATTTTATAATAATAATATATAATATATAATTATAATATAATAATAAATATATAATTATAATATAATAATAAAAATTACGTTATATCAAGTTATAAAATATTTAGAGTTTTTTAGAATAAAAATTACATTGAATCAATTTTTTAATAGTTAAAAGAGGTGTCTTATTATACATAATATTTTCTATTTCATATTATTTATTATATATATATTTTTAGCTATTATTCATCCATCGTTTTTTTGAATCTATCCTAGTTTTTAGACTAAATTTTGAAAATTTCTGCAGGAGAAATTTTCTGCAGTGATTTCAATTTTTTTTCAGTTTTAACAAACATTTGCATAATTACATTAATCACTTAAATGAATATATTTATATATTTATATTCATATTTATATTCGCTAATCAATTTGCTCATATGATGGAAGAAGATATATTTTTAGGTTCGAAAATATTTATCTTCTTTTATCGAACTAGATATATTACATTGGTTAGTCTATATACATTTGTTTGTATTCTTATTAATGTTCTTGGCTGTATCAGTCGAATCATTATTTGATTATGAAATACCAAAACTTCAATCAAAAACTAAGTACAATACTTTTATTATACTTTTCATATTTGTATTTATTATTGTATTTATTATATTTATTATATTTTTTGAAAATATGGCTATGAAAAATTGAAAATTAAAAAAAGTTGCAGATAATTATGAATTATATATTATAATATAATTAATATAATTAAACTAATTATATAATTATGTTAAAATATAATATTATATAGAATAATTTTGATATTAATGAATTAATATTAATATTAAATTGATATTACTATTAATATTTGATAATTAATATTAATGAATATTTATAAAAAATACTATAAATATTTTATATTTCATATTTGCAAAAATGATTTGCAAAAATTTTTTCTCCACTTGAGAAATTATATTAAGGAAATATTCTAAAGATACTAATTTTTTCCATATTTATGAGAATTATACATATTATGTATTGTATTATATATTGTAATCTTCATCTATAAAATCAAATTTGATTTATATTATTTTTTTTTTGTCAAGATATATTTTGAAGTTGAAAATTTCCAAAAATATTGAAAATTATAAGATATGCTTATATTATTTGGCTTCTTCTAAATTCTCTATGGATTATTGAAGTATGTAATTTTAGAAACTACGATAAGAAAATATGTAGCATTATGATATAAAAATAAAAATTATATCTTATATTATTTAAAATTTTCCATATAAAATAATAAATCAATTTTATATTTTTAATATAATCTCTAAATTATTAAATAAATAAATATATTTTCTATTAATTATCTTTTGATTTTTAAAGATCTTTTGATTTTAATATGTATATAATTAATAAATTAAAAATTGTGTATAATATTTTGTTATTTGTTGTTTTTTTTGTTTAATATAGTAATTTCTGAAATAAATATTTTATTCCATTTAAATATGCATCCACAAAAACTTCCTGCAGCAACAATAAGCGTCCATTAAACAAAACAAGATTGATGAACGACAATGGTTATTGTGAAAGGTCGTTATATAATCTTATATCCCTATCTTCTTCTCTACTCATATCCGGTTCTGAAACCGGAGTTTGAGTTATAATGAGTACTCTGAATACTTGAATATATTTAATTTATTTTACGTTGCATTGTGGTTTGCACTATATGTATATATCATTTGTAAAATGATTAACAAAATTATTAATCTAAAAAATCATTAGAACTTTGTTTGAAATATTTTTAACTAGTTTTTACTAGATCAAATATTATATTCGAATTTTCTGTAATTTCTGTAAATTATATTATATAAACTATAATTAATAATTATAATTATAACCAAACTATAATTATAACCAAAAAATAAAAATAAAATATATATTGTTATAAATACAAAAAAATTTTATTCATTTTTTTATGTATCATTTTTTTTATAAAAATATTATATATAGAAGAAGAAAATGATCATGTAAACAAATTAAATTATATTTTAATAATCTTTTTGTATATTTATAAATTCAGATTATATTCTTGAATAAAAGTTAAATTTTTTAAATTCAAATAATGAAGAAAATGTTATCTTATAAAAATTATAAAAATTTCAAATCTCTACTCAATTTATGAGAAAATTGGTAAATAAATAATAATAAAAGACAAAGAATGTTTAAAAAAATGAATGAAAGAAAAAAAAATGTTTAAAAAAATTACACATTATTAAAAATACAAAAGATATAGGCATTGAAATGTGTAAAATTCATTACAGTTATAAACTGAAAAACCATGAATAACAATATCTTTGTAATATCTTCTCTTTATAATATTCCAAAAAAATTCGAGTCATTTAATTCAATTTAAAAAAGATTATTTTAAACAATATATGAATATTTTTTCTTTCATGATAGATAATTACATTTGTAAGAAAGAAAGAAGAAAATATGGTAAGAAATATCAGAATAATACAGAATAGTAAGAAATATCATCAGTTCTATAGAATATCATCAATTTACAGAAAATAGTAAGAAATATAAGTAGTAACTCGAAATTAAAAAGAAATTTTAGACTTCCTTCTATTAATATGATTAAATTTTTTAGACGGTGTACATTTCAATGAACCATATAATTTTGATGACAAGTTAAATTCTAAGTCTAAAAATGAAAATGAAGTTCTCGTTTAGCAAGAAATTAGATATGTTTCTTTATATAATATATAAAGAGTCTCAGTTATCTATCCAAATGAATATCATGTCGTACGTCTATTGTTAAATTAGAGTTATTATTATATAATTAGAGATCTCTATTTCATGTATATTTAAAAATATATATTACACATATTAATATATAATATAATATAATATAATATGTTACACATAATTAATATATCTAGTTTATGTAGTTCTGTAAATCTTATTCATTTATATACATCTATAATATATTTCAATTATATATTCTAAATATATTCTATATATATCAATATATATTCTATTTTATGTATATTTAAATATATAATAATGTATATTAAACATGTGTTATACATATATTAACGTATTCTTATTTTAATTCATATAATTTTTAAAAAATTGATATTAATTTACGGATTGAAATTATAGTTTTATAAATTTTTAAGTTATTGATTAAAAATAAATTAAAACATTATTTATATTAAGAAAATTTATTAAATGAACATTTTTTTAAATTTTTATTAAAAAAT